GCTAACAATAAGTTAATCAGGAAAACAGAAGCAAGAAATAAAACCCTTGTTGATTTTCTTTTTCTTTTTTCTTCATCATCATCAATCTCATCAATCTCATCATTCCATCATCCTTCTCCTTTTTTCGCTCATCATTTTCCCCGCTATATTCGTATTTCCCATGGTGATTTCCTCTTCCTTTTCGGGTTCCTCCATGTCCATCTCCTGTCCCCCCTTTTTTTTTTCATAACTTATCGCCCCCTTCTCTCAACCTTCTTGTCTCTTACCTTCTCTTCTCTCATGAATCAAAGCTCATCATGACCAGCAACAACAGCCTCGGAAGCCTGGCTAGCAACACTAACCACGCTCTCCTTGGCCTCACGAGCCAAGCTGCTCGCGCTCTCATATGCTCCAACGACAACGTCGGGGAGAGAAGTGGCGTAGACTCCATGCAGCCTGCTCACCACGCTCTCAGAGAAAGTCGGCTCCTTGCCCACCAGCAGCTCGCTGACAATGCTGCTGACGACACTATACTGCTGGGCAGCAGCATCCGAGCCCGCAGCGGCATACTGGCCAGCCGCGGTAGCAGCAGCACCAGCAGCGCTCGTGATGGAGGCAGCGTTATCAGCCGCGGCATCACTTGCCGCATCGCCGTACTGGTTCGCTACGCTGACGGCGGATGCGCTGGCGGCGTTGGCGGCGGAAAGGACCGTCTGGTACCAAGGGGTGGGGGTGGGGGCGCCGTAGACTTCAATGGAAATACGGGCCAGGACGGAATCCCAGGATTCGGAAACGACAGAGGCGGCATCGGCAACGTTCTCGGAAACAACCGAGGCAGCATCAGCGACGTTTTCAGAAACGACAGAAGCAGCCGAGGAGGCCTTGTCTCCGGCGGCGTAGACGATGGAGGAGGCGTTCTCCCCGACGACCGAAGCAGCCGAGGCAGCGCCGTCGGTAACAGCAGAAGCGACTGAGGAAGCGGATGCGGCAGCGGCCGAGGCGGCATCGGCAACGTTCTCCGAGGCAACAGAGGCCGCGTAGGCAGCGTTGTCAGTAACAACGGAAGCCGCAGAAGCAGCGGACTCGGTGGCGACAGAAGCGACTGACGAAGCAGTGCCGGCCAAGTCAGTCGGAGTAGGGGTGGCAGTCAGGGAGTTCAAAGCCGAAGAGGCGGCGGACAAGAACTCGGAGTAACGAGCGTGAGCGACGCCGAGGCCAGCATAGTAGTTGTGTCTGGCGTTCTCAAGCGCCTTTTGGACGTGCTCAGAGGGAGTGGACGGGGTAGGGGTGGCGAGACCGGCGGCGATCTTGGCGGACTCGTATTGCTCTGCGGCCCATGACTGGCCTTGCTCGAGACGCTGGGCGGCAATGGATTGGATGCGCTCCCAGTCGACCGAGGGAATGTTGGGGACGGGAACGGCGGTGGGTAGGATCTTGAAAGTCTCGGTGGGAGTGCTCTTGTAGATTTGCTTAGAGGCACCCTTCAAGGCCTTGTCGAGGCGGACACTAGCGGAGGCCATGGCCTTGCTGTAAGCTTGGGTGACGGATGCGAGCATTTGCTCATGGGCCGGCTCAGGGGTGCCGCGGATCTGGGCAGAGATGAGCTTGAGGGCTTCAGAGTACTGGTTGTTGGCACGAGACATGGCGGAAGAGTAGACCGACTTGACATCGTTACGCATCTTCTCCATGGCTTCAGAGACATCATCGTAGGTATCTTCGTCAATGATGGGCTGGCGAGTAGGCACCGACTGAGCAGCAGCTCCGAGCCAAGCGGACTTGACGGTGGTAGCAGGAGGCTCGGCAACCTCAGAAACGATGATATCAGACTCCTCCTCAGCTTCCTCCTCGACGGGGAGCTTGACGGGAGCAGGACCCTCCTTCTCCGCCTCGGTGGTGTTACCAACCATGACAGGGGTCTCCTCGAGGATCTCAGTAGAGGCGAGGTTAGGGCGAGACTCAACGGTCGAAGCGGCCTCAGATGCAGATTCAACCACATCGGCGACTTTCTTGGAAGCAACACTGGTAGACTCAACAGCCTGGGTCACAGTGGAAGAGCCAGCAATGGCCTCGGAACCTTCGCTCAATACAGCAGCGGCAGATTGCTTCACGACGAAAGTAGCACTCTCGACAGACTCGGAAGCGGAAGAGGCGGCCTTAACAACGGGGGAGGTGGCTTCGTCCGCAAGCTCCTCCATCTTGTCAGTGGCCGAGTCCTTGGCTCCAACGACAGCCTCGGTCGCCTCAGATACAACATCAGCAGCGCGGCTGACGCCATCTCCGACCACCTCAGAAACCTTCTCACCGGCGGCACTAACAGACTCGCTAGCCTGGGAAATGACACTGGCCGCAGCATCCTGGGCATACTCGACATGCTCGGCAGCCTGCTGAGCAACGGTGCTCTCAAACTCATCGGAGTCATCGCCAGCCTCCAACTTGCGAACGGCAACTTGCTTCAAACGAGCAAGCTCCTTGGCAGCAGAAGCAGCAGTGTTCATGGCTTCCTCCTCAACAGCAGCCGCCTCGTTCTGGGCAGCCTCGAGACCAGGGTGAGTAACAATGAGGTTCTTGAGGTCGTTGTTCCAGTCCTCGAAACGGGTCTTGAGCTCATGGTATTTGGCCCAGTCCTTGTATGTGACGCCATCCATCCAAGCCCACTTCATACCGAGCTTTTGCAAGGCCAGGTCTCTGATGTCGCCAAGAATGGTAAAGTGGGCTTCGGCAGCATTTGTAATAGCGGACTGCATCTCGGCCTCGTAGTTCTCGCGCCAGGTACGGACCTCCTGAGCTCTCTCCTTGATGGACATGCCCGCCTGACGTACGACAGCGGTAATTTGATCGCGTCCCTCGTCGACGGAGGCACTCTCCTTGTTAACGGCCCCGGTGATCTGGATGATCTTGCGGCGGAGTTGAACGAGCTCAGAAACAGTGGTAGTCTGGAGCTCATCGAGCAGAGCCTTGCCAGTAACCTTGGCGTTACGGCGGATCATCTTCTTGGTGATTTCGTAGATTCTGGCCGAGATCTCGGAAGCGCCTTGGTCAGCGGCCTTGGAGTATCTTTCCTGCCAGTCCTGAAGATCGGCAGCGACAGTTTCACGGGCGCTGCGGCGAGCGGGATCTTCCTTCTCGAGCTGCTCATCGACCTCGGGAGGGGGAATGCGGTTCTCGGGAACATGTTGCTCTGTAGACTCCGAGTTCAGGACCTTTTGTTCCTCGGCGGCAGCGGCTTTGAACGTTGACTCGGCATGGGACGAGGGGGTCGAAGCGGCGGTAGTGGCAGGTGTGGGCTTGCTAAAGGTCGATGTCTTGCTGTTGGAGGCACGAGTTCGAGTCAGCACTCTTTTTGTCGTCAACGGTGATGGAGGAGAGTCTGTCGCCACCAACCTAGATGACAAGTCCACAGGGGGCTTGGGTACCGACTTTTTGTTGCTCGTGGTATGGCGACCAAGGCGCTGGCCAATTTTGAGCAGCTGAGGCTCGACATTCTCCGAGTAGATGACCCTCAAGTGGGGCATGACGGTTCCATCGAGGAACAGGCTGGTCTTGTGCCAGGCCCAGCGAGTCGAGGGCAGCACAGTGCTGGCAGCAAAAGCCGAGGTGGCCTTGTAGCCCTTGTGGGCATAAGGCTCAACATAGTGATACGAGGGCACAACAACGCCATGGTAGGTCTGGAGGGCGTTTGTGCGGGCAATCTCGTAGTATGGGCCGGCGGCAGTGGAAAGCTGCTTGACATGGGGACCAACGCTCTGTTCGTAATGCGTCTTTGCAAGCTTCTGATACTTGACAAGCTGGGGCTGAAGGGTCTTTTGCCACTGGGTCTTGGTGTAGGCCTGGGCCTTGGTGATTCTGGGTTGCGCGTATGCCAAGGCGGGAGCAATGGCCTTTTGGTCGATGACATGGTAGTACGGTCTTGCGAGGTCGACGTAGGGAGCGGCATAGGCGGTATAGTATGGTTCGACACGGGGCAAAACGGTCTGCTTGACCTCGAAGTAGGTCTCGCAAATGCGGGGAGAAGACTTGTCGCATTCCTTGAGCGAGGCGGGGCAGCGGAAGAGGACGGTGAGGATGGTGTACCAGGTCACGAGTCTGTGGAAAAGAAGTGGGTTAGAGATGCCAACTTGAAGAATGGGGATCAAGAGAGATGTTTACCTGGCCACCACATTGAAAGTCCTAGTTATCACACCAGGCCGACTGCGTGGGCGTTGTCTTGGTGTGACTCTGGGACTGGCCGAGTGGCTGAGGGTAGGCTTGATGGGCCCGTTGATGCCATTGATACCGGTCACGGCGTTGGACGAGTTGTAACCGTTGGCAGTCTTTTTCGAGTAGCCATTGATGCCGTTAATATTGTTGAGGCCATCGAGAGTCGGCACGGGGCCTTGAGGACCTCCGTTCATCGAGCCGTTTGTGTCCTTCATGGTTGCAGGCTCTTATCAGCACCGAGCAGAGTGGTGATGACGTCGCGTAGTATTTGCGATGGTTGTCGATAGGTCGCTGTGTTAAGCGCGATCAAATATGAACAAGCGCAATCATCGAAGTATGGTGTTGTTGCGTCGTGGTGTTGGTGGTCGTCTCGAGGGACGATGCGCAAGGGCAGAAAAGAAGAAAAAAAGACCAAGTTATCGGACTGGATCTCGTTCAATGCAGTCAAGCCAGGTCCGTGGCTGCGACTTTGAATTGCGAACTGGGGCTCGTTCCAGTTGGTGGTTCCAGGCGATGGTTCGGTGCTTCCCGCTGCTACAGCACAGCAAGCTTTTAGCTCATGCTCGTGGGAGGGGACCTGAGCTCCTTCCCGCCCGTCATGGGCCAGGGCAGAGCGGGGCCAATGAATGATGGAAACAGTGGGGGTGTTACCGTACCGTACTTTTACGTTACCTCTAGCAAAGTAGTGTATAGAGTGAAGCAATCGCCAGGTCCTGAGATGAACTGAAGTGAGGAGTGGAAGGGAAAGGGGTTTTGTTTTGCTTTGTTTCCTTTTGCCTGTGACTTTTTGGGGGATTCCTTTCCATGGTCAGTTTCAAGTATTTCTCCGCACGCGACAGTCTGGGCAGCTTCGCCTGTCAGAGTTGTGTAAAGGAGGTACGTACCTGTTATATTGAAACCCGTGATGCTACCGTAACCGAGGTACCTCTGCTTCTTGAGAGTCTCTTCAGAACACAACAAAGGATTATAATTACAACCAAATCAACAACCTGGAGGCAGTTATTGATGATGTTTATGGGTGACTTTTAGTTTTTGAGGACTGTGAGAAGAGCAAGTCTGTTTGTTGTCTTCTTCAAGTCAAGATCAAGACTTGTGAATAACACAAAGGTACAAACCCTCTCAACGTCACCCTCCCCCAATTCCAGCTTCCCGCTTTCTCTCCATCCTAGCGTGCCACAGGTTGCCCCACAGACGTCATTGAGCCTTGAGGGTGGTGAGCGTGCTTGAGATGCACCGCCTCCAAATCGCCAAAAAAGAAGGAAAGTTACAAAGACCTGGACACGGGATATTTTCTGATTGGCTCTGTCTTTGTTTATCAGTTTATGATATCTTGGTTGACATTGACAATTTTTCGATGCGTGTTATCAGGCAGCATGGTCAACTCCATGGTTTGGGTAGTCATCTTGTTGCAGTCTTTTGGAAAGAGAGCACTGGCCATGGGTTCTCATATGATATTGCATCGTGGATCTTGACATGTGCTCTTCATATTCAGCCTGTTATTGAAGGACATTGAAGACCCCAAACTTTTCACTCTCTAGCTGCAAGAGCTGAAGAGTTATCAGCTTCGAAATGTTTCTCTTTTGTAACAACCGATGATGCTCAAAGCCAGGTACGACCTTGTGGTGGAAGGCAAATATCTTGTCGTTATCCTATGGCAAAGAACGCTGCAAAGTCTTTGACACATGACAAGCGGGAAAGCAAGTTATGCAGATAATGCAGGGCTCGGCACCGTTATGTCATCCCAACGTTGAAGCACAAAAGTTGTGACCGAATGTGCAGATGTCGGCATGCGTGGCATGACTGCGCCGTCCTTGCACTCTTCGACTCGCAGAACTCTGATCAATCCAAAATGCCACCGATCCATCAAACAAGAACGAATTTTTATCGATTGAGTTCAAGTTCCAAAGACCCAAGCGAGGTCATTGGGTTGATATCTTTCGGCGTTGTCATTGAAGGAGATGGTCCGTGCACTCAGCCGTTTTTACGGGCCCGAGTGAGATCTGGCGGTTCCGAGTCGGGGCTAGCCTTTGCTTTGAAAGTTCCACTGCTGACTGCACGCCTTCCCGATCAAGGACCACTTTCAACGCTTTGGAGACTTTGTCACTTTTTGGTGCATTTGCATTTGGCGCTTTCTCTTCCACTTCTTCCATTCGCACTCGACAGCTTCCACTCAGACTTCCACCGTCTTCACTGCCACCACTGACCGGGCTACCACCAACACCACCACCAGAGAGCCCCGTCACCCTCTGTCGCGATTGCCGACGCATCCTCCTCCATGACTCGACTGCTGTGATCAACAACGACATCCATTCCTTTTCCGATTGTCATCCGGCGACTGCCCACCTGCTACAAGCCCCGCCTGCGACCTGACGAGTACTGGTACTTCTCAAGTTATCGCCGCCGATTTCCCCGTCGTCTCCCTCGTCGCATTTGCTCTCAACATCCCCGCGACAACTTTGATCGAATAGTCTCACCCGGCATCGCATTCGGCATTTCTCTCGACCGATCCCGACTACCTACATCCAATATTAAAGCTCTGCGACAATACCAGAGTCAGCGGACTCGCGCCGCCCACCCGCATTCCGATGAAGACAAATACATGATTTGACCGACACTCGACAACACCACCAACACGTACACAGAGCGCCCGCTGCTGACGACAACAACCCCCGCTCCCTTCCACCATGGGCGACGCTAACCCCGCCGACCCGACCGTCCTTCCGGACTTCGGCCAGGACCAGCCCGACCCTGTCCGATTTCCAAACACCAGACTGCGAAACTCGCGATCAGCCTCCATCTCGACATGGACAACCACTTCTGGTGGCCACTCCCATACTCACTCGCAGCCCAACAACAACCTACGCGAACCCGAGCAATGTCGTATTTGCAGAGGCGAGGCCACTCCCGACGACCCCTTGTACCACCCGTGCAAGTGTAGCGGAAGCATCAAATGGGTCCACCAGGAATGTCTGATGCAATGGCTGGCCCAGACCCAGAGGAAACATTGCGAGCTGTGCAAGACGCCCTTTCGCTTCACAAAACTCTACGATCCCGACATGCCCAGGACCGTCCCCGCTCACATCTTTGTCGGCCACATGTTCAAATACTCGGTCCGTAAGCTCCTCGTCTGGGCAAGGGCCGCCCTCGTCGTTAGTGTCTGGCTTGGGTGGCTCCCGTACTTCATGCGCTCGGTATGGGCCATGCTGTTCTGGCTCTGCGAGGAAGGCTGGGGTGGTCCGGCTTTGTTTCAGAGAGCTCACAACACATCATCGTCAACCGGATTTTCGGTAACGGCTTACAGCACCACCGTGTGTCCATCTAGTCCGCTCTTTGTTGCCAACACGTCACCAGCCAGTGTGGGGGATGTACTAGGACGTCTGCCCCTGAACTCGACACAGTTCGTGAATAGTCTTGCGGGTGCCAATCCTGGCGGAGGCTATTCGTTCCTTTCCGTCCTGCTACGAATAATATTTGGCTCAGGCGGTGTTCACCAGCCCGTACCGCCCCTCAAAGAGATTCCCAGTCACCTCACCAACAACGTCACTGCGACACTCTTCATCAATCAAGCGGCTTCGTCTTACAGCAATGTATCCTATCCACCTTCGCTTCTCAGCGAGGTCGACTTTTTGAAGAACTTGACCCGGAACCCCACAGTCAACAACAATATCATTGCCGTTCTCGAGGGCCAGATCATTACCGTTCTCGTCGTGGTCTGTTTCATCTTGATCATTCTCGTCAGAGATTACGTTGTCCAACAGCAGCCGGAAATCAACGAGCGTGCTGCTTTTGCCAATCTCCAAAATGTACAGCCCCAGGTTGCCCAGGTCAATGTTCCCGATCCTGCCTTGAATGACGGCCTTCACGGTGCCGTCTTGGAAGACGAGGATGCAGGCACTGACGATGAAGATGCCTGGCTTGCTCAACCTCCCCAGCCCAGGCGCCGACCTGACAGAAATCAGGTTCATAATCCCCATGCAGCTGATTTGGAGAGAGAACTCGGAGAAACGGATACATCAACCATAGATGAGTACCTCGGCATCTACCGGGAGGCCGGCGGAAACCCTGATAGAATCGTCGAGCTGGCCCAGGAACGCGGTCTGGAGGAAAGATTGGCGTACTGGATAGCTCTTACCAAGACTATGAAGGAGCGCGCTGCTCAAGCTCAGGCAAGCTACAATGACGGCTCTAACCCTCCCGCAGCTGAATCCAGTACTACCGCAGCAAGGAGACTGTCAGGCCACAATTTGGAAATGGACAGCACTCCTGCCGGCCCACGACCCGATCCGTTTGATGACTGGCGCTATCCTTTGGAGGAAGATGATCCTCCGGCCGAGGAACCCGGAGAAAGTTCTAGGGACAAGGGCAAGGGGGTTGCGACTGATGATATTGACACCAAGTCGGACCCCGAGATGATCGCTTCTTCGTCGAGGCCTCGCGCCAATACAGATGGACCTGAGATCAGAATGCACACCAATCCTTTGGGTAGCAACAGCTGGTCTTTCAATGACTTGCCGCAAGACGACCCAAACGGTTCATCAACGGAAGAAAAGCGCACTCATGCTGTTACAACCCCCCCGGATATCAATAATGACAATTATTCCTCCAATACCGAGGTTGAACCTCTGCTCGCTTCCATGGCCAGCCAAGGGGAATCAGAGTCGTTCCAGGAGAATCACAGCCAAGATGGCGATAGAGATGCAGATGACCTCGGGCAGCGTCCAACAGCGGAGCCTTGGGCGGCCATACCCATCCCAGAGCGTCAGCCGGAGTCACAAGAACTGGCAGCTATACCCTGGCCCACCCTCGACGAGACTACGACTGACAGCCCCGCACAACCTGCTCAACCTCGTGGACTCGTCCCGATAATGACCGACTTCATGTGGCAAGGCGTTGAGGTGGATCAGGCGCAACAGGATGCGATCGATATCATTGCTGATGTTTTGATGAGGCGGGAGGACGAAGCTAACGTGGGAGCTCGCGATGGTGCTGAACTTGATGACGACGACGACGACGACGACGACGACATGGACCAGGATGATGACGCAGCAGCAGCAATTGGCCTCGAGCAAGATGCCATTGATGATGCCGAAGATCTTGAGGGCGTTTTGGAGCTTCTTGGCATGCGCGGACCTTTGGCTGGCCTGTTCCAAAACGCCATCTTCTGCGTCTTGCTCGTGTCAGCCACCATTTTCCTCGGCCTGTTCGTTCCATACAACATCGGCCGCTACGCGCTGTGGTTCATTGCGAAGCCTATGCGTCCGGTCTGGATCCTCTACAGCTTGTGCAGGTTTATCCAGGACATGGTGGTTATCGCCTTTGGACTTCTTTCCCATACGCTCTCTCTGGTGCATCCCAGTCTAGGACTGGGTGGTGTGGCTCGCCTGGCTACGAAGCTCCTCTTTGGTAGCCGCCACGCAGCAGCGATTCTTGATCCGCACGTTGAAATGACCAACGCCGCCAAGCGAGTTGGGCATACTGTCATCAACGAGCTTGGTCGGATGTCCATGTCGGAGATTCACACCTTTTCTGCTGTCAGCCACGAAGCCTTATTGTCGGTCAAGGGTCAGATCTTTTCCGGCTTCGCTGCCCTGGGCTCTGCGCTCGTCTTCATCTTTGGTGGTGGCTACTCCACCAAACTTCCCATGGTGTTCTCCGCAGCCGGCAAAGCTACGGCATTCGTGTTGGGCGCTCTCAAGACTCTGCCTGCCACCTTGTTGAAGCCTAACCTCGTCATCAACGTCAATTTCCCCGATGCGAGCCATACCATCGACCCGGCATTGGCATTCTGGAACGGTACCGACCGGTTCTGGGCGATTCTTGCCGGCTATCTCACGATTTACATCGCGGCGTTGTTGTACCTGCGCCGTGGTGGACCCATATCCTCAAGCCAAACCGGACAAGAATGGGAGGCGGCTCTCATTGATGCGCTGAACCAGGCAAGCGGTGTAATGAAGGTCATCCTCATCATTGGTATCGAGATGCTCGTCTTCCCGCTGTACTGCGGCATGCTTTTGGACATCGCCCTCTTGCCATTGTTCGAGAATGCCACTCTCATGTCCCGCCTACAATTTACCCTCAACTTCCCCATCACTTCGATCTTCGTTCATTGGTTCGTGGGTACGGCGTACATGTTCCACTTTGCGCTGTTCGTCTCCATGTGCCGCAAGATCATGCGCCGGGGAGTTCTCTACTTCATCCGCGACCCCGATGATCCCGAGTTCCACCCGGTACGCGATGTGCTGGAGCGCAATGTCACGACCCAGCTGCGCAAGATTGCCTTCTCTGCTCTTGTCTACGGCGCGCTTGTCATAATCTGCCTCGGCGCCGTGGTCTGGGGGCTGGCGCTCTCTTTGCCTAGCGTCCTTCCGATTCACTACTCGTCCAACGAGCCAGTGCTCGAGTTCCCGCTTGACCTTCTCTTTTACAACTTCTTGATGCCCTTGGCGGTCAAGTTCTTCAAGCCTGGTGATGGACTCCATGCCATGTATACCTGGTGGTTCCGCACATGTGGTCGTTGTTTGCGCATTACTTGGTTCCTTTTTGGGGGGCGCAAGGCTGATGAAGAAGGTGGTCTGCGCATGATCGAAACAGGCCCCGGAGCCCAGCCATCGTGGTGGCAGGCCATGTTCCTTCAGCTGGATGAGTCCGATGGGCTGGTGAGGCCGTGGAAGCCCATGTTCGTGGCCGGAAGCACCACCCCCAAGGCCGAGACCTCGGAGTCCGAGCCCGAATCACCAAACATCAGAGGGTATGTGCCGTCTGAAGCTGAGGCCAGGGATTCTGAACCTAGGGAATCGCCTCCCGAGGCAGGTTTGAAGGAGTACTTGGTGAGCACCCAGCAACTCGTCCCCGATGGACGCTTCGTTCGCGCTCCGGCCTCGGACCAGGTCAAGATTCCCAAGGGCAAGACGGTGTTCCTCGAAGTGTCAGAGATGAACGAGAGACTGGACGGCAAGCCAGATTTACCAGAAACCGATCTTTACTCCACACCCCAGTACCGTATGGTCTATGTCCCGCCGCACTTCCGGGTCCGCATCTTCTTGTTCATTCTTCTCATCTGGCTGTTTGCCGCCGCTACGGGTGTCGGCATCACGATTATCCCCTTGGTCTTTGGCCGCTGCATGTTCCAGCTCTTGATTCCCGAAGGTGTAAGGACAAACGACATTTACGCCTTTGGCATCGGCATCCACGTTTTGGGGGCGATGGTTTACGCGGTCGTCAACATACGGTCCCTTTCCCAGAAGGCCAAGATTCGCGTCGCCGGAGTCATCGCGTCAGTCTTTAACAACGGCGCAGTGCGTCGCGGCCTGGCCGTCATCACCCGCATCGCCAAGATTGTCTACTCTTACTTCTTCCTCCTGGTCGTCTTCCCTCTCATGATCGCTTCTGTCGCCGAGCTCTACGCCATGATGCCCCTGCACGAATTCATGTACAGCGTCCCGATCGCCCAAGATATCAAGCAGGTCACTATCGAACAAGCCGCTGCTCTCAACCCGCGCCACACCATCCGCGTGATGCAGTCCTGGACCATCGGTCTTTTGTACCTGAAGCTTTCAGTCAGAGGGATCAGTACCTGGTTTAGCGGCAGTCGCTTGGCGCTCGCCACCAAGGCCGTGTTGCGCCGCGGATGGTTTAACCCCAACGCTGGTGTGCTCACTCGAGCATTCGTCATCCCCGCAATCCTCCTCTGGACCGTTGCCATGGCCATCCCTGCCATCTTGGCCAAGGTTATGATCTCCTGGCGTCTGGCGGAAACCTTGACGCTCAGGCATCCTCAAGCTGTGGTGGACGGAGAAGTCATTGACCAGACCCTCTACGACGCCTACGTCGTGCTCATCTACCGCCGCAGCTTCCCGCTTACCGCGCTGTTGGTGCTGGCTTTGGCGGTGGTGTGGGGCTTGCTGGGTGTTTTCCAGAGCTGGAAGATGAGGATTAGGGATGAGGCGTATTTGATTGGCGAGAGACTGCAGAATTACGGAGGTGGCATGCCGCAGAGGGGTGCACTTGGAAGGGGGGCGAGAGGCGGGTGGAGGGCTGGGATTGCTGTTAATGGACGGTGATGATATTCCATCAAGGGAGGGGAGGATAGAAGAAGAAGAAAAGAAGGGAGATGGAAGCGGAGGATGAAGGGGAAGATTGTAAGAGGAGAGAAGAGGGAGAAACATGTACATGTCATGTTAGAGTATAAATAACGTAGCATAAAGGATATTTGTTACTTGCAGTCTGCCGTTGCTGACAGTTGCGTTGCTTTGCGTCGTCGAGATAGCACCGGTTACTGACTGCTATTGGTGTAAGTACTCTTTTTCATTCATAACCAAGGCAAGGAACTGGATTGTATCAATAACTTTGTCTTCAATTCTTTACATTCTCAAATCTAGGTAACATTCCTCAGTGTGTTCATCGTGATATTATCCGTTCACGGAGTCTTCTGAATCTAACATGTACCAGGTAAAGCGTTCATGGTATTATCAAGCCATTACAAAAAGACAGAACGACAAGATCCAGCTCGAAGTCCTCCAAGAATCCAAAAGAGGGTCGATCCTCAATTGACCATTGCTGCCGCCCCTTTTCCACAAGCAAACAACCAGCACGCTATACACGCCTGCCAAAGTATTGTTCAAGAAACCAAGAAAACGAACGAAAAACCCCCAATCAACGGGGTGTCTAATGATCCTCCACATCCTCATCCCGTCCCGGATAACAAATATCCTGCACCACCACCGCCCGGATATGATGTCCCAGCACAAAAAGGTAAGTGCACAACAAACAGATACTCATGGCGGTGCCCACCCACAGCACCGCCTCGCTCTGGAACGCGTTTCCGATGCTGATGGTAGCCAGCGTGAACCCGGTGTTGGGAAACACGCTCGCCCACCATCCCAGATGGAAGTACTTTGGTCTGCTTGCCAAAACCGCAAGCACGCCGATAAAGAACCACCAGAACGCCAGCGCCCACAAAAACACCGCGCCGATGATCGCCATGGTGTAGATGATCTTGGCGTCCATCAGCCCGTCCATGTCGTGGTCGAAGTCCCTCGGCAGGCCCTGCGCCATGCCCAAAAAGGCGAGCGCGGTGAAGCTGGGAGGGCCGACGCACATGAACAAGCCCGGGCGGTGCTCGCGGCAGGGAAGTCCCACGGACATTAGTCGGCCGACCATGTGCGCGTACATCATGAATGCCACGGCCACGCCCAGACCCTGGCACGTCAAGCCGGCGCAGACGATGATGATTGCCCTGGGCGCCGGCTGGAAAGGACTGATCACCGCCGCGATGGTCCCCGAGAGCATGACGGGGAAGATGGGCAAGATCCAGGTGGGCATCATGGTCTTGAGCTCAAACGTTCTTTTTTGGGAAAACAGAAACGAGTACTGCCCGACGGCCACGGCCGTCGCCAGTACCAGGTAGATCCAGAAAGCAATGTGCAGCACCCAGACCAGATCCACGGACGGGATTCCGCCAACGGGGGTGCCGTATTTCTGGGTTGAGGTGATGAGGGTGGCGATGCTCAAGAAAAAGGTGGGGAAGAAAAACCCTTCGCGAGGGTGCGTGAGGGAGGCCTTGAAGGTGCCCTGATGTAGCAAGAAGCGGGTGACTTGGAGGGAAGTCAACAGGACAAAGATGATCAGGTTGATGATGTACACTGCTAGACCGATCTGGCGGAGTCCGGGGAAGGTGTGTGGTTGCGCGGCGATTAACAACGATAAACCGCCCGTGGACATGCAGAGCGTGTACCACGCCCAGGTGAAGTGTTTGAGTCTGCTCCTTAGAGGCAGCTTAGGCCTTGATGGATCGTACGGGTCGAGATGTCCCTTGTGGTGAGTAGAAGTAATGTTTCCTTCTTCCACGTCTGTGTCGTCGTCGTCGCTGGGGTTGCCGTCGTTGATGGCGGCGCCGGACATGTGTCCACCATGGTTGCCCCCCCTGGCCCTGGACTTCTCGTTGTTGGAGTTCAGAGCCAGCTGGGAAGAACCAGCACTGGGGTTGAGGGAGAAATCACCACCGCCTCCGCCTCCCGAGAGGTAATCTGTGTTGGTGCGTCCTTCTCTTCCTTCCTTCTCATAGCCGTCGCCTGGGCTGCCGGCGTAGGTGCCGGATGTACGAGAAGAGACGGGGTCCAGGTCTCCGGTTACGGTTGCGGAGGAGGACTGGCGGGAGTGAGAGCCGAGGAAGGAGGGGTCGAGGGTTTGTTGTCGTTGTGACTGTTGTATTTGGGACTGCTGGTTGTCATTTTGGTTGTTGGTGGCGTCGGTGTCATGGATGATGACGTGCGCTCCCGTCTGCTCAAAGGGAGACATGGGAGGAGGCATGGGAAGCTGGTTGCTGTTGCCCATGGTGGTGGGGGGTTGTTGCATCACGATGTTTGCTGTGTCTGTGTTGCGGGATGACGGCTAGTCTAGACGATGACGTTGTGAACTAGTGTTCGGGAAAGAGGTGTGTTTCGGTCTGTCGAGATCCGAGATCGATCCGAGATCGCGGGTATAGCAAACGAGAGTTGTACAAGATGTTGGAGTTCGGAGTCAAGCGAGATGGAATTCAGGTCAGACCGGTGTCCTGGAGATCAACTGGATTGTCTTGGAAACCGAAAGAGAAACGAGAGTGGCAACCAAAACAAAAAGGCAGCATAAGGTCTATTGGGAGTTGTTGTCCCCTAGTTGTCAACCAGCTTGTTAGTGCTGGTTGATGTCGATGGAAATGTTGGGGGAGGTTGCGGAAGCGAGGGCGAGGAGAGTCTTTTGGCTGCTGTCGGTTGGTGTTCGAAGCATGGACTTGATATTAAGACTGGAGAGCCCGGGGATGGAAAGCTGGAGATGAAACTGCCGGATGAAGCTGATGAATGCTGTGATGAAGATGGGGAATGTGTGGAATTGTCAGAGAACCGAGCGCGTGGACTACTCTACTTTTAACTTCTTCTCCAGGGCAGTCCATGACTGTTCTCCAACGACGACGGTTGACGACACTTGGACACCCCCTCCCCCTCTCCAGCATCAGACTGGCTGCATCACGCACGTACGCACCGCACACAGGTTGGCCCCTGTGGTCTCTGAAGCTTCTCCTCGCAGTAACTGCGTCCACCCCCGAATCTCCACCGGGATTCGCAATCTTCAAACTGATCAGGACATCTTTTGTCGCCCAAACGTCGTTTCAAACTGGGATGTGTAGATCTATATCTGCCAAGGGGTCCACCGACGAGGACTTGTCGAGGCTCTCATGCTCTTGATGTTCGTGTGAAGACTGGGCAGCACATTGGCAGGTGGATCAATACAAGGTGAAAGACAGAATGATAAACAAGTAGGCAAAGACATTGGAGACATGTTACTACTGTAAGTTGGACTCCTTGTAGCGATCCACATTGTTGGAGTGTTGCTCGCAATGGGGGTGGTAAGGCAAGCGAGAATACACGAGATGTGTTTTGTCTGGGCATCTATTCCGGGGCCCAGACCGCCTCCGTTAGTTTACTTTCTTGGTAAAGATTGTCGGTCATTGTGTGTGGATATCTGATCCTGGCAGTGGTTTTGAGTTTTGTAGGAAAGAAAAGTCTATCGTGGTTTCTGAAACCACTCCTTTTCTTCTATGGTTTTTTATTGTCCGTTTTGTCCGTTCTGTTCTTGACTCGCTCTGATACTGATTGATGTCTGTCTGATACTTTGATGCGGATGGGGGGTCTCGAGATGCGAGTACGAACTGATGGAAACTTTGGGGGAGTTGGAGAATATCGGACACCTCCCTCCGTTCTTCGTCATGCTGCAGTTGTTTCTTTGTGTGATGTGAGGTTCAGAGGCTTGCACCGCCATACCTAGAGGCCTCGTAAGGGGGAAAATATGCCAAGAATATCCACATCGATTTTGATGGTGTTTCTTCGGATGCCAACAGAGATGCTAGAGATGCCCAGAAGATATCGGCACTTGCCCCTCCCTGTCTCTGCTTTGAAGATCACGCTTAGGAAGGGGGCGGCAAGGGGGCTTGTTAGTAGTCTCCCGGATCTTAACCGGTGATCCACTTCTTTACATAGTGATGTCTAGTGATCTGCGGTACTTGTATCTATTCTTATGAATTGTGCCAAGATAGGAGGATTTACATACAGCGCACTCTCTTGCCCCCCCAAAAAAGGATGGATGGAAGAGGAGAACGGCTCGTTGTGTTCCTTGTTTTTGGGAGGTGTCGATTTGTTGGGCAGATTTTTGCTTGATATGACGAAGAATAGAGAAAATGATGCATAAGGTAGTTGAGAACCCGTCCGAACTACCAAACACGGTAATCGGGATGATGCTGGTCATCAACATGGGGAATAACTCAAACAGCAATATTTTCGACCCGGGCACCTTGACGGCTCCGGTGACATCGAGACAGCAACAATCGGACCTTTTACAATGCCGTTCTTGGCCATGTTTCTTGGGAGCTTGGCCAGTCTTGGCTTGTCTGAGATGCTGCATTTGGTGTTGCAGTCGTTGCAGTTGATGCAGGCGATGAGGCTCAGCGACGTCTTTCCAGGGGTTTCGAAAAAAGGTTCACGGTGTGGAAGGTCAGCAAGGTGGTAGTGAAGCATGGATGACGTTAAGGAGAGTCGTCGCCCTCGTCGTCGCCAAGTCTTGGTAAGAGACCAAGAAAAAGCCAAGTAAAGCCACCCGCCTAGTCCGCCCACTGATATCTCCGACTTGGCCTAAAAGGTGCCCAGAGGTTGCCCATAAAAACGCCTAAAAGTGCGGCAATGCAATGGCGATCACCGCCTATCCGAAAGTGTATCCCCTACCGGCTCCCGCGCCCAGAATATCTGACAGGTGTGTACGAGTACCCATTTCAGGGGTCAAGAGAGATAACTGAGATTGCCATGTTGAGTCCTCCCCTGTGCCGGAAATTTCCATTGACATTAGGTTTTCTACTTGGTAGATTGTAAGGGTTTGGGTCTCTGGGGTTCATTACGGGGATGTCTGACAGTGAACACACTGAAGACGTGCGATGGGAAGAAGAAACGGAGCACCACGTTGTTCGAAGCACCAGATGGATTGGCCGATTGAATCTGGATATTGCCCTGGCATTGCAAACCAGCACTGAACAAAACAACAAAACAAACCCCCTTTTTCTTCCATCTTGGACAGTGAGACAGATCTTCAGAAATCAAAACAAACCCCCGCCGCTTTTGACAGAGGCTCTGGGATGGACCACCGACGGAAGGTTCCGTTGGGGACCTAGACTTGCTGCGTACACTCCCTACTCCGCCGCCGCTACATTACAGTCAACCTTGATGGCGATGACAGTAAAACAGCTCCATCAACTCCCGTATTCTCCATTTCTCCAGCTCTCTTGCAATGCCATCTCCTCTTCTCCTCTTTTTGTCCTGAAACAAAGCCACTCGCCAATCGACCCCTCATTCCAGTTCCACCTTCCCTGAGTGACAGCGGGCAGTGGACTGCGATAGACAAGACACAGCCCTGTTGACAGCGGAGAGAATGGAGCGGGTTGGAGCGTGAGGGAGCGGAGAGGGCGATACTGCGACTAACAAACACTAACGTAGACTCTTGTATTGCGCCGCAAAATTCGTCAAGGCATTGATCATCGTTATCTAACCCCATATTCAGCGGGTTCCCATCCAGTCGTCATCAAGCCGATCAAGTCGATCACGCAAGACAACTAGTATAGAGCAGCCAAATCTTGCCAAAGTTCCACGCACTTGTCGATTGTCGATTATCAGCCCAGCCAAGAGGCAGATAGTAGCAATTGTCGATCTTGGCTGGAGTCGAGTCCTTCTCCAAAACCAGGTGCTTGCTATGCTTGCTATGCTTGCTATGCTTGCATTCGCCCAAGCGCAGCTTGCGCATCAACATAACCAGTCTCTTGGCAATCTGGCATTGCGTTTCTTGGGTCTTCGTATTGATAAGAAATCAAAGGCGCGTGAGGAGCGCGGTATGCTGCCAAGTCATGCCCGAAGCGCGTACCGGTACGATAGAGACGAGCTTCCCTGCACAATGCGTCTTCCTGCCAGTCCTGCATCTCGACTGCCCACAAGACTGACTGCCTGGCCCTGCAGTAAGCCCTCCGCGTCGCAATGATGTACCTACCTACCTAGCGACAGAACATCATGACCAGTACCACCGATGACGTCGAAGCCGAGCCGCATCGTGAGATTTTCGATTGCGATAGCGAATCCAAAGTCGGGCCCAGCGCATACCTACCTCTACTGTATAGGTAGGCGGTGAAATCATCCCGTCCAATTCATCGGTTCCAGTCCAGTCGGGGCGTCCACTTCCAGCCGTTGAGGTTCTTGAAAGTTGAGTTGACAACTGAACGCATCGAGGATCTCCTAGGTATCGTCATCATGCTTTTGGGTTGGAGACTGGAAGCCACTCTTTTGCCCTGTCCAGTCCAGTCTGGTCCCGGCCCGGGTTTCCTGGCTATTAGTTCAGGTAGGTAAGGTAGTTGGGTAGGTTGAGGTTGAGGTTGAAGTTGAAGTTGAAGTTGAAGTTGAAGTTGAAGTTGAAGTTAAAGTTGAGGTTGATGTTGAGGTTGATGTTTGAGGTTGAGGTTGAGGTGAAAGTGAGACGATGTGACAAGGTGATGTGATGTGCCCGACCGGGTAGACGGACGGACGGGCGGGACGGACGGGACCCCAGACCCGGAGCAGTAAGGATGGATGTCTTAACTCTCAACCAACTCCCGTCATCACTGGCGACACACCGACAAAACACTATCTACAATGACCGATGACATCGGCGCCGCATCTTGGTATTCGCATCGTGAGGTTTTGCGATCGGAATTTTCGGGAATCTACCTCTAAGGGCAAAAAAGACTAATTGGAGGCGGATGTTAGCATATGTCTCACACTCAAGCCAACAAACGTCGTCACACCCCAAATGAGGCTCAACTCTGCCCAAACCAGTCTGGGTTGATTAAAGACTCACCTCCTTTTCATCTCCACACTATGGAGCACGTTGCATCAACCGCAGCCATCAAGAGGCCGGCCGGTCGGTGATCAACGACTAACAGAGACAAACACGTCATAGCAACCCATTCCGCTAAACACTCACTCACAGCAACCAGACCACTTGCAAACAATCACTCAATCACTCACAGGAAGCAGCTCACTCAACTACAAACAAAGGCACACTCAAACTGACATTCATCAAACACATTCATGTCTCAATTAAGCATTATCTCATGAAGTAAAACCACCACTACCACCACTAGGTACCTAGCTACCCCTTTCAATGATTCATTCATCAAGCGATCATGTTCCAAAAAAAAGCTTTCATCCTCCTTCCTAAATAACGGGAAAAAAGGAAACAAACTTGCAAAAAAAAAGAAGGATCCCTATCCATCAAACTAAGCTGAACTTTCTTAGAGAAGAACAGCAAAGAGGGCAGCCATCAGGGCAACGCATCCGGTGCTGGCCATCATCTTGGAAGCACCACCGGTGACAGGGGGAGGAGGGATGGCATCCGAGGGCGAGGGGACGGGCACGTCGGAGCCACCGGTGCCGCTGGGGCCGGAGCCACCGGAGCCACCACCGGGAGCGGAAGAGCTGGGGCCAGAGCCACCGGAGCCACCGCCATCGTTGCCGCTGGTAGGTCCAGAGCCAGAGCCGTCACCACCGTTGCCGCCGGTAGGTCCAGAGCCAGAGCCACCGCCATTGCCGCCGGTAGGACCAGCAGAGGTGATGATGGTGGAGTGAGTGACAGTGACGAAGCTGGAGGACGAAGAGCCACCAGATCCACCACCACCGGGGGAACCACCACTGCAGCCACCAGTAGGCTGGGCAACAGCACCGCAAGCGGTAAAGGTAGGAGCAGAGGCATCGCAAGCGCAAAGAGCCTCAACGGCGGCAATTACCTGGGCACCCTTAGTGACACCGCAGCCAGAAAGCACATCGTCGAAGACGAGACCCTGAATCTCCTTCTTGTTCTTGCACTCGCAGGCGTGGTCACCCTTCTTGCAGCCAACGGAAACGGC